GGAGCTGCTGCTCGGGGCTCACCTCTTCTTCAGCAGCGAGCTGAAGTCCAGAATCCCGGTGTCCTCATTGCTGTCACTATGGAAAGGGACCCCCAGTGAGGCCACTGTGGAGCTGACTAGAAGGGGCTTGGGAGTAGGGAGACGTGGCGGGATAGAGTGTGAGGAAGGGACACTGGCCAGATGGGGGTTCCCTGCCCATCTTAAGTCCCCAGGGTCTGTGTATGGGGCAGGTAGTGCCAGGGGAGGGGTACCTGATCCGACGACCACCTCCAGCCACGCTCCTGTGGGGGTTAGACCCAGTTCCTCACCTGCCCAGGGGAGTTGCTCTCCCCCATGCCCACAGACTTCAACCGTGACCCCACACATCACCCTCCAGCCCTCACCCCACACATCACCCTCAGCCCTGACCCTGAGGCTAGCCTCCCCCAAGCCCTGAGGAGAGATGGCCACTCACGTGCGGCGGAAAGCTGATCGGAGGTCCAGGTCTCCGGGGCCAATGGCCTCTGGGTTCACAGAGGAAGATGAGATAGGGAAGGGGCTTCAGAGGGCGCCATCCCAGCAGCCCTGCCCTGTGATCTCTGAGTATCACAGACCTGCCTATCCATGACCCCTTGAGAGTGGGCATGTACCCCTGGACCCCACATCCTGAAGTTTGCCAGGGTCGAGGTACCAGGGAGGGGGTTAGTTTACAGTCTCCAATCCCTTAGAGGTGGTTCATCACCCACTCATGTCTCAACTCACCCTGTTCACCTGTGCCAGGAGCCCAAGACGCCAGATAAGACCCAGACAAGATCTAGACTTGGCTGTCACCCCACCCCAGCCCTGGAAGCCTCTATGGGTTTCTTTCACGCCCCAGCATGAGCAGTGTTGGGCATGTGGTCAGCAGTTATCTGGCCAGGACTAGGCATCCTCAGTGTTGGGAAACGGAGGCAGGTGTGGGGAACAAGACCCGTGGGGAGCCCAAGCTGAGGACAGGCGCCAGGGGTCCCCCCTCACCATGGACGGTGAGGTTGAAGTTGCAGCTGTCAAATTTATCCTTGGTGGACACCTCACAGCGGTAGCCACCTGCAAAAGTGGCTTGGGCATCTGTGATGTGCAGCTCAAACAGGTACACCTGTGGGCATGAGGCATCAGAGGAGATGGAAGCCAGAAGACGAGGCCCTTTACCCCTAACGGAGCTAATGGCCACCAACCTTCTCACCCCTCGGGGGTTTTAGTTACCCCATACGGTTTTGTGTAAATAGCAAAAGGAACCCCTTCTCAAGACACACAACTGCATAGGGTGGTGATAAAATATAAATCTGTGATGGCTACAAGGCAAATGGCATTCACTTAAGATGAGGCACTTTGTGCAGTGCGCAGCCCACACAACTGAACGTGTCAGCCCTGACCTGCCAGAGGGCCCCTTGCCTGGGCCAGGATTGTGGGAGAGTGGGAGGAGCAGAGGCCGGGAGTCAGTGTACAGGTTCTAGGCCTGTCTCTGATGCCCCCAGACCAGCAACAACAGCCTCTCAAGCTTTGGTTTCCTTGTCTGTATAATGAATTGTTCTGGTTCGCCATTGAGGACATTAGCTCTGATACCCATCCATCCAGGGGTTTTATACCCTCAGTGGCTGATGCCCCCCATGCTTTACAATGTCCCTCAGCTTTCCCGAGCTCCCTGTGCCCCACAAGCCTTACTATGCCCCCTTGAGACTACTATGCCCTCCAAGCCCCCCATGATCCGCAGGTCCCCTGTGCCTTCCCATAACCCTCCTCTGAGCCTCCCCACATTCCCCGTGTGTCCTTGGCTCCCCAAGTTGCTTCCCAGGCTTCCCATGCCTCTTTTTCATACCCTCTATGTGCCTCCAGTCTCATGGTGCCCCCCGTGCCTCCCAGGGCTCTCCATGTCCCCTTTCCATGTGTCCTCAAGACCCCTGTGCCCCCAGGCCCCTGTGCCCCGCAGGCCTCACCTTGCTGGCCCGGTCATAGCTGTCATGCAGCTGCAGGTGTTGGCCGACCTTGCTGCTCAGGTCCACCCACTTGCCCTTGAACCACTTGACTATGGGTGGTTTCAGAAGGCTGGCCCCAGCCACACGGGCTGAGAAGGTGATGCTGCCACCTGCAAGAGAGAGGTGACAGGCTGGGCTTTGGGGATGCCCTGCTGCCTCCCTCCCCTCCACATCCCTGGCTGCAACAGCCTCACACTCACCCACGGTCACCTCGCCATCCTGTGGCCGCATTACAAAGAGGCCAATGGGGTCGTCAGGAGCAGCAAGGCCATCNTGTCTCTATCTTAGCCTCTGTCTCTTTCTGTGTGTGTCTGTCTCTCTGCCTGTCCCATCTGCCTGCCATCCTCTGCATTGGGGCCAAGCCCCGCACACTCACCGCCCGATGTGAGACACCTTTATTCGGCTGTCAGGCACCAGCTCCTTTCCGTTCTTCAGCCACACGCCCCGCACATTCTCGTCTGACACCTCACACTTGAACACGGCCTGGTCCTTTGCACCCACCGTCAAGTCCGCGATGCTCTGGTACACCTCCAGCTTTTTCTCTGGGGGGCAGGGCACAGCCAGTGAGCGGGGCAGGGAGTGTGTGGGTGTGGGCGTGAATCCCTGTGGAGATCACGTGGGCATGTGAAAACGTGTGCATGTGTGAGTGTGACTCGTGTGTGCATGTGATGGTGCAGTGTACACAAAGAACCTCAAGTGTGTGTGTGCGGAGGGGGAGGGGGTGATGCTAACCAGGCCCACCTGACCCTCCCAATGCTCTCTGAGGTGGCCACCATAGCAACCCCATTTTACAGATGAGAAAGGTAAGGGTCAGGGTGTCAAAGTCACTTGCCCAGGGTCACACAAGCCTCGATCCTGGGTTTGCCTGATTTCTGTACAGGGCTGGGGTTGAGGGGTCCCAAGGCCCTGGGGCCTTGTGTGCTCCCCTGACCTGTCCCCATAGGTCTCACCCTGGACGATGAGCTCAGCCAGTGACTGGCCCCCACTGGTGCGCAGTGCATAGTGTCCGGCGTCCTCCAGTGTCGCCTCGTTGATGATCAAGTGGTGTCTATGGCCGTCCTTCTTGAAGCGGTATTTGAAGGTCTCCTCCCGGGTCAGTTCCACCCCATCCTTCAGCCTGGCCAATGGGTGGGCAGCAAGTGCTGTGGCCTCCTCTGGAGATGCCCCCAGGTCTTCCATCCCCATCGCATGCCCCCATGACCCAGCACTCACCATTTGACCTGGGCACCCTCCTCAGAGACCTCACACTCAAACTCCACCCGCTGTCCCACCATCACCAGCTGGTCCTCCAGGGGCCGCATAATCAGCACAGGGGGCTCTGCCAAGGCAGGGAGAGTGTGACAGAAGGGCCCCTCTGTGGCCCTCCTGTCCCAGGGTCCCAGGGTCCCAGGGTCCTGGGCCCACCTTTGACAAAGAGCTCGGTGCTGCACTTCTCTCCGCCCACAACGCACTGATAGGCAGCGTCATCTGCCAGCGAGCACTGGCTGATGGTCAGTGTGCGCTTGGCGCCATTGGACTCGAAGATATACCTGGGCGGGGGACATGGAGGAATGTTGGAAGAGCCATGGACTAACCTCCTGATACCCCCTCAACCCTTCTCCTCGTGGGGACCCCTTTGCCCCCATCCCAAGCCTTCCAGGAGGTGGGTCTTACTTGCTGTGGAACAGAAGGGGCCATTGGAACGTCCCCGATGGGAGGAAGTGAGACCGAGAGAAAAAGGGCGAGGAGCAGAGATGGGCAGAAACAAAAAGATGGCAAATTAGACCCAGAGAGAGAAACGGGGGGAAGACGAGGAAACAGGTACCAAGACAGAGGCAGAGAGGACAGGGCTGGGAGCGGCCCTCTCCCCTGCGCCCCCCCCTCAGCCTCCCAGAGCCTGCTCCCTGCCCCTGGCCCCACCTGCCGCTCATCTGGATCTCCTGTCCATTCTTAAGCCACTTGACCTCAGCGTCCGGGTCTGCCAGCTCCACCGTCAGCCGGATCTTGTGGCCTTTGCTCACCTGGTAGGCCGGCTGCAGCTTCTTCTGAAAGGCTGAGCGCCACCTCTCAGTCCTTGCCACCCCTTCCCGTCCACCCCGGGGCCATCCCCGGCGCAGAAGGCTCACACCCCAAGGCGACTGTGTCAGAGGTCCCGGGACCTGCCTCCCCTTTCTCTCTCTGGGTCTCCACTGTGACTCTGTTTCTTTATCTCTGTCTGTTCTGTGTCTATTGCCTCTTTGTCCCTCTCTTTGTCTGCCTGTCTTCCTTAGGGTCCTCTCTACGAGCTAAGCTCAGGGATAGGGTTAGGGGCTTCCGAACCACAGGGTCGGGAGGACAAGGGACACGACCCATGGACTTCCCTACCTCTGGAATCTGTTTTAAGAGCAAACCCCGGTTTTTGCGCTCCTACTAGGTGCCCCCGTCTAGTGGGCAGGCAAGGTCCCTGCTTTCCAGGCTAACTTTCCGGGAGCTGACATCGCCCTGCCAACACCTTGGTGAGGAAGGACTAGCCCGAGCCCCCTCCTCTGACCTGCCTTGAGGGCAAGAGGGGCTAGCCCTTGCCTGCCTGTTTTGTTTCGTTCAGTTTGCCTGTGAGGAAGATTAACCAAGCTGGTCTTCTTTTCCAGGTGTGGGTCTTTGGCCTAAACTGGCTTCTTCTCTCTTTCTGGGTGTAGCAAGAGTTACGCAGGTTTCTTTTCCTTTCAAGGGCAGGTGGGAGAAGAAGGGGTCCCCTGGGCTTTACTCGGTGAGGAGCGCTAACCTGTGCTCTGTCCTTTTCCTCCGGGTGTCCCTGGGCTAACCTTTGCCCTTCTCCTTTTCGGTGTGGAAAGGGGCTCCCCTGGGCGCTCTTGTTTTTTTTGCAACGCAAGAGGGGCGTTACCCTGCACTCTTCTCCCTTCCCGGGCTAAGCTGGACTCCTCTTTTCCCGGGCGTGCGCGCGCGTGGTGGGGGTGGCTAACCTGCCCCGCCCCTTTGCACGGAGCGGGAGGGCTAACCTGTGCTCTTCTTCTCATCGCGCTTCATGGCCTTGAGTCTCTTGAGCATGCCGCGCAGGTCGGTGACGCCGTGCTGGAAGGCGATACGCTCGTACTCGGACGCGGGCGCCTGCCGCAGGATCTCCCACACGTCCTCCTCGGCCGGTGCCTCCAGCTTCGAGTCCCTGTGTCCCACAGCCCACGCGGACAGGCCTCAGGGGGATACCCCGTGGCCAGGGGCAGGATCACAGCCCCCCTCCCCTGGGGTGGGCTGCCTGAGGCCAAGACCAAGGAGCTGAGCTCGCATGGTCCAGGGCCAGTTCCAGGGTTTAGGGGGCTTGAGGCTCAGTATGGGAGCTCAGTTTGGGGGCTGGGCCTAGGGAGGGGTTCTTGATGGAAGTTGGGGTGACCGGTGCTGGGCTTCACAGGGCACTCACCGCGGGGTCCGGAAACTGCTGCTCCAGGGGGAGGGGGGCAGAAAGGCAGGGGACACATTAGAGGAGGCCACCTCCCCACAAAGACCTGGGGTCCAAGCCCATGAGCCTTCCCTTCTGCTCCGCACTCACGCTCCTCCATTTCACCTTGTTTATTCCTCCTGAGCTCTGGCAGGTGGGCATCAGGAGAGCCCAAGGCTCAGAGACTTGCCCCATTCCTGCGGGGTCTCAAGTCTGTTTGATTACCAGCCCCATCCATCTCACCAACCACGACAAGGACAGGTATGGGGTCCCTCCAGCACCCTGCTGCCCCAAAGCACCCGACCCCAGTGCTTACTCTCTGGGCCACAGCAGCATCGGTGATAATGCAGGGTCCAGGAGAGAGAGGGAGAGGACACAGAGGACATGAATCAGTTGGGCTGAGCTTGGTGGGCAATTTCTGTGGCTCTGGGACCCTCTCCCAGCTTCTTCTGGGTCCCTGGAGCCTATTGAGGTGAGCTATTGCAAACTCAAGTGTGGGGTGGTCATGGGGGGCGCTGTGAGAAGGTTAGTTCACAGGACATAACATCTGCAGAGCCCTCTGACTTCCCAACCCAGGAAATGTCCCATTTGACAGACTAGGAAATGGTCTCAGAGAGGTGCAGTGACCTGCTCAGGGCCACACAGCTGGAAAACCGCAGTGCCGGGATTTGAAACCGGGCCTCGCCACCTGCCCCGGGAGCTGCTGCTCGGGGCTCACCTCTTCTTCAGCAGCGAGCTGAAGTCCAGAATCCCGGTGTCCTCATTGCTGTCACTATGGAAAGGGACCCCCAGTGAGGCCACTGTGGAGCTGACTAGAAGGGGCTTGGGAGTAGGGAGACGTGGCGGGATAGAGTGTGAGGAAGGGACACTGGC